CGTGTTCAATACGATCGGATGCCAGCAACATATAATTTTCTTACAGTTCTTAGCATATTTTCTAAAGTTCTTGATTAATTGTAAAAATTTGATAAAATATTCTCATGTTGGGCTGTAAAAGTAAGCTTTAAACTAAAATCTGTATTTTCTGTTTGTTGGCAAAAGAATAAAACACTACTTACAATCACTTTTTAAAAAAATTTGGGGAGTCGTTTTTAATACGATCGGATGCCAACAACACATCATTTTAATACAGTTCTTGGAATTTTTTCCTATGTGCTTGATTGATTTTAAAAATTTGATGAAATATTCTTATGGGGGGCCTTAAAAGTAATCTATAAACTAAAATCTGTGTGTTCTGTCGTTTGGCAAAGGAGTAAAACACGAAATAAATTGATTTTTAACAAAAATCTGTGAAATCGTGTTCAATACGATCAATACGATAACAAATATTTGTATTACAGTTCTTGGCATATTTTCTAAAGTTCTTGATTAATTTAAAAAGTTTGAGGAAATATTCTCATGTTGGGCTTTAAAAGTAAGCTTTAACTAAAATCTGTGTTTTCTATAGTTTGACAAAAGAATAAAACACGAATTAAATTAATTTTTTAAAAATATCTGCGAAATCGTGTTTAATACGATCGGATGCCAACAAATATTTGTATTACAACTCTGAGCATTTTTTCTAAAGTTCTTGATTAATTTTAAAGATTTGATGAAATATTCTCATGTTGGGCTGTAAAAGTAAGCTTTATATAAGCTATAACCTGTGTTTCCTGTCGTTTGACATAAGAATAAAACACGAAATAAAAAGATTTTTAACAAAAATCTGGAAAAATCGTGCTCAATACAATCGGATGCCAACAACAAATATTTTTATTACAGTTCTTGGCATATTTTCCTAGGTGCTAGATTGAATTTGAAAATTTGATGAAATATTCTTATGTAGGGCTTTAAAAGTAAGCTATAAACTAAAATCTGTCTTTTCTGTCGTTTGGCAAAGGAATAAAACACGAAAAAAAAGGATTTTTAACAAATATCTGTGAAATCGTGTTCAATACCATCGGATGCCAGCAACAAATATTTTTGTTACAGTTCTTAGCATATTTTCTAAAGTTCTTGATTAATTTAAAAAATTTGAGGAAATATTCTCATGTTGGGCTTTATATGAAAGCTTTAAACTAAAATCTGTGTTTTCTGTCATTTGGCAAAAGAATAAAATGCGAATTAAAATCATTTTTAACAAATATCTGGGAAATCGTGTTCAATACAATCGGATGCCAGCAAGAAATAATTTTATTACAGTTCTTAGCATATTTTCTAAAGTTCTTGTTTAATTTTTAAAATTTGATGAAATATTCTCATGTTGGGGTTTAAAAGTAAGCTTTAAACTAAAATCTGTATTTTCTGTCTGTTGGCAAAAGAATAAAACACGACCTAAAATCATTTTTAAAAAAATCTGGTGAATCGTGTTCAATACGATGGATGCCAGCAGCAAATAATTTTATTACAGTTCTAAGCATATTTTCTAAAGTTCTTGTTTAATTTTTAAAATTTGATGAAATATTCCCATGTTGGGGTTTAAAAGTAAGCTTTAAACTAAAATCTTGAAAATTTGATGAAATATTCTTATGTAGGGCTGTAAAAGTAAGCTATAAACTAAAATCTGTGTGTTCTGTTGTTTGGCAAAGCATTAAAACACGAAATAAAAGGATTTTTAACAAAAATCTGTGAAATCGTGTTCAAGACGAAACGATAGCAACAACAAATATTTTTATTACAGTGCGACTACTTTCCTAGGTGCTTGAGTGAATTTAAAAATTTGATGAAATGTTCTTATGTTGGGCTGTAAAAGTAAGCTTTAAACTAAAACCTGTGTTTTCTGTCGTTTAACATAACAATAAAACACGAAATAAAACGATTTTTAACAAAAATCTGGGAAATCGTGTTCAATACGATCGAATGCCAACAACAAATATTTTTATTGCAGTTATTAGCATATTTTCTAAAGTTCTAGATTAATTTTAAAAATTTGATGAAATACGCTTATGTAGGGCCTTGTGTAGTTGCAAGCTTTTTTGCAACTAATTAATTCTAACTGCTTGTGTGCAGCGAAATTCAAAACTTATGTATATTTGTTTTCGAATATATTTATTGCCGCGCATGGCACTTAGTAGAGATTATGTTTTTATATTGTTGCTTGGCAGCCAACTCGAATTAGTTGTGCCTAGGTTGCGATCAAACGAAAAAAACTAAAAACTATGACAATATGTAAAGCGAACGAAACGAAACTCCAATAAGACGCTCGCCGGTTAGAGCGAAGGGCAGCGGGAGTCAATGCAAAGCAAAGCAATGCAGAAAGAGAGTGGACAGCAGCTTACAAAGAGCGCGCAAAAACTATTTGCTCTTAGGCTGTAATTATGATTGTTATTTTCTGCTTGGATGATGTCCGCAGCCGTCGGTGTTGTCTCTGCTGTTATTTGACCAAACATTCTCCCCCCGTTGGAAGGCAAGGGCTTTCAACATCATCCTGTTTGGGCAGCAAACACAGCTTTCGTACAGCTCTACGTATGACCCCAGTCGCAGTTTGAAGCACAGCAACTCTGGATACCCCATCAGATCCAGAGATCAGCTCTTGCACTCTAGCTAGTGGCCACTTCAGCGGCGGTAGATTCTCATCCTTTACAAGGACAACATCGATAATGGAGAGTCCAGGCTGAGGAGTGCGCCATTTGGAGCGCTGTTGAAGAAGCGTCAAATATTCTTCGCGCCAACGGGCCCAGAATACTTGTTGGAGATATGTGACGCGCTGAAAATAATTAAGCCGATTGAAGTTAAGCTGCCTTAGATCGGGCTCAATGTATGATGAACTTGGCGCTGTACCCAGGAAGTGTGCGGGTGTCAAGACGTCAAGATCACCTGGATGCTCTGAAAGTGGAAGTAATGGTCGAGAATTAATAATTGCCGGGATGTGGCAGACGAGCGTGCGCAGCGAATCGAAATCCAAAATGGAAGAGCCAACAGATCGATAAAAATGGTGCTTAGCAGTCTTCACAGCGGCTTCCCATAGTCCGCCAAAGTGCGGACAGCGAGGAGGGATGAACAACCATTCAATTGAGTCGGATAGGCATAACTCGTTAACGGCCTTGACATGCTCGTCACTCAGGAACAGGCGGCTCAGATCTGCTAGTTCGTTCTTGGCACCTACGAAGTTTGTCGCATTGTCAGACCAGATCCTTGAAGGTCGAGATCGAGTCAGGATGAAACGTTTTAGGGCGTTTAGAAACGATATTGTGGACAAATCCTTTACAAGCTCTAAGTGCACCGCCTTTGTAGCGAAGCATATGAACAGACTGATATAGCATTTCACTGGTGGCCTGTTGCGCACTTCGTTCTTGTAGTAAAATGGTCCACACTAATCAACGCCAGTGACCATAAAGGGATACGAAGTATCAAGACGATCAGCTGGTAGGTCTGCCATTATATGCTCTGCCAATTGTGGCTTGGCACGAAAACAGATTATGCCTTTGGCAACAATACTGGAGACTGTTTTTCGACCGCCAATGGGCCAGTACTGGAGCCGAATCGAAGACAATAAAACGCGAGGTCCAGCGTGGAAGTTTCGTTTATGAAAGTGAACTATGATTGCTCGCGTCACAGGATGCTGACGGGGCAATATAATCGGATGTCGCGCTGAGAAGTCTAACGACGAGTTTTTCAGCCGTCCACCGATGCGGAGTAGGCCGAAGTCGTCAAGGAATGGTGCAAGAGAGGCCATTGAGCTAGACGGTAGTCATCGCTAAGAGTAGCCATTTGCACTGACCGCAGCAACCAATGTGTGCCATGATGCAAGTGGTCAACAGTTAGTTCAGCTCCTCGGATTCGATTTACAAATTTGTAAACATAAGCAAAGACCCGCTGTAGCTTGGAAAACGAATTGATGAACTTTCAGCCGATCGAGAGATCAGGTTGCGCTGCAGTTCCGAGGAGTACCTTGTGTCGAAGTTCTGGTAAGGATTCGACAGGTACACAGGAGGCAGGCCACTCTTCCTTTCCCTTACTGAGAAAACTCGGACCATTGGCCCATAATGGAGACCGGAAGAGCTCACTAGGCAGCGCTCCCCGTGAAATTATATCCGCCGGGTTTAATTCAGTGGGAATATGATGCCATTCCATTCCAGTGGTGAGCTCTTGGATGGCTGCGACTCGGTTGGCAACGAAAACATTGAATTTCGAAGCATCATTGCGAATCCAATCCAAAGTCACGGCAGAGTCTGACCAACAGAAATACCGACAGTCAAACACTTTCATTTGGCATATTTCGCTGAGTTCCAGCTTTGGTACAGTGATGGTTTTCACAGGCGCGACACGCGATTTGGAGCATAAGAGACGCACGCTGGTGTTGCCATGGCACTTTGACATTGATGTTGACATTGATGTTGACCGAAAAACCATCGGACGCAAATGCTGCATCACCAATGCCAGAGACGATTGCTGTTGACTTGAATTTGCGCAGCTGGAGCTGATGAGCAAGACGACAGGTGATGATGTGCAACTGCGACCAGAGTCGAGCAACGCACGGCAGGGCACCAAGGAGCCAGCGCGATTTTTCACGTTGATGACGGCAGTGGCAAGCAGGACAACATCGTGCTTGAGATGCTGGGCGGTAGTGAGTGGCGAAGATAAAATTGCCGCCAAGGTGTTTTGGGATGACGAATAAGTTTCGGTATCTTGTGCATTGTTTGAGCTAGAAGCAGCGATGTGACTGCTTGTGTTGCCAAGATGCAACAAGCTATGATGCTTGCTTCCACAAACTCTGCAAGCGCTGGAGCCGCATACTCTCAGTTGATGTCCCCTTTGCAGGCAGTTTAAGCACAGCGCAAGCCGCTTGGCTTCGTGAAGGCGCAGCGAGGGCGATAAATTTGCGAATTGCAAACATTTATAAATAGAGTGACCTGCGACTTCACAAAACACACAAGCACTCGTTCCATTCCTAGTCCCTACAAACGTTCTTCTACTACTGTTGTTCTGGCCCACATGGGAGCTAGGCGTGTACATTGTCGTAGCGTGATCCGCTGCCTTTGGCAACGCCTCTCGATGAAGGTTGTAAACCGCTCGCATGATGGTATGACGTCCAACGGCGCATCATCCCCCCAGCTAGCTTGCGTAGCGCTATCTAGTTTTTGCAGCAACGTGTGTACTATGACGCAACCGGCGATCTGTTCCACACTGCCCATCGATTTTAAAGCACGTAGATGAGAGTTGAGCTTATCTGAAAATTCGCGCAGCTGTGTCGTCGCGCCCTTATCCACCTTCCTTAAACCCAAAATTTCAGCGATGTGTGCCTGAAAAATAAGACGCTTGTTATTAAAACGCTTATCAAGCAGTTCTAAAGCGGCAGCATAATTAGCGTTTGAAATTTCCAAGGAGCGAATTGTATCCAGTGCTGTTCCTTTAAGGCATGACCGTAGATGCTGGAGTTTTTCAATGTTGGTCAAATACGGATCCTTGTCAATGACCGTGGTGAACATGTTCGAGAAATCGGCCCATTCTGTGTAGCCTCCACTAAACTCCGGCAATTTAAGTTGAGGCAATCGAGAGTGGGTTGGAACATAAAGGTAGAACGCGAATCATCGGCTGCGGCAGAATTGAAGGTGGAACAATCCGGAATCTGCTAAACCTTGCTGCGATTTCCGCGTTCGCGTTGAAGGGACACCCGTAGCTGCCTAATAGTTGACTCAAAACTTGTCTGAAGATCCTCTTCAACGCTGGCATGACCCACATCTAACAAACTATCATAGACTGTTTCAAATTTCGCCTGCAAGTCAGATGCCATGCTTATGTAATCTTGCAGCTCGTAGTCATCAACATCGCGAAGTCGAGCGGGATAAAGTTCAGAGGATCTATTGAGTCGATCACTTAAATTCTTAATCTTTATTTTAAGAACAGCAGCCTGGGTTCCAACCGCCACTTGACTAGCTGATGTCGCCTCATCATTTCCATTTGCACTTGCACCTTCATCAAACATTATGAATGTAGCGCACAACAAGGTTCACACAGCCGAACAAGTGTCGTTCGAGCGAGATAGCGTATAGCTGTTTATAACGGGGATTTTGCTACGGCGTTTATGTATAACAACCAACTGTATGCAGATGCGCAAGCAAAGGGCTCACCACTGTTGTGCTTAAATTGATAAATTGTTTGTTGATACGATAAGAACGAAGTATAAGAAAAATAGAAGAAAGATCACGTCGGGGTCACCAAAATGTGTAGTTGCAAGCTTTTTTGCAACTAATTAATTCTAACTGCTTGTGTGCAGCGAAATTCAAAACTTATGTATATTTGTTTTCGAATATATTTATTGCCGCGCAGGGTACTTAGTAGAGATTATGTTTTTATATTGTTGCTTGGCAGCCAACTCGAATTAGTTGTGCCTAGGTTGCGATCAAACGAAAAAAACTAAAAACTATGACAATATGTAAAGCGAACGAAACGAAACTCCAATAAGACGCGCGCCGGTTAAGGGCGAAGGGCAGCGGGAGTCAATGCAAAGCAAAGCAATGCAGAAAGAGAGTGGGCAGCAGCTTACAAAGAGCGCGCAAAAACTATTTGCTCTTAGGCTGTAATTATGATTGTTATTTTCTGCTTGGATGATGTCCGCAGCCGTCTGATGTTTGATGAAATATTCTCATGTTAGGCTTTAAAAGTAGGCTTTAAACTAAAAACTGTGTTTTCTGTCTGTTGGCAAAAAAATAAAACACGAATTAAAATCATTATTTAAAAAAATCTGGGGTATCATGTTCAATATGATCGGATGCCAACAATAAATATTTATATTACAGTTCTTGGAATACTTTCCTAGGTGCTTGAGTGAATTTAAAAATTTGATTAAATATGCTTATGTTGGGCTGTAAAAGTAAGCTTTAAACTAAAATCTGTGTTTTCTTTCGTTTGGCAAACGAATAAAACACGAATTAATATCTGGGAAATCGTGTTCAATACGATCGGATGCCAGCAACAAATATTTTTGATACAGTTCTTGGCATATTTTCTAAAGTTCTTGATTAATTTTAAAAATTTGATGAAATATTCTCATGTTGGGCTGTAAAAGTAAGCTTTAAACTAAAACCTGTGTTTTCTGTCGTTTGACATAAGAATAAAACACGAAATAACACGATTTTAACAAAAATCTGGGAAATCGTGTTCAATACAATCGGATGTCAACAACAAATATTTTTATAACAGTTCTTGGCATATTTTCCTAGGTGCTTGATTGTATTTAAAATTTGATGAAATATTCTTATTAGGGCTTTAAAAGTAAGCTATAAACTTAAATCTCTGTTTTCTGTCGTTTGGCAAAGAAATAAAATACGAATTAATATCTGGGAAATCGTGTTCAATACGATCGGATGCCATCAACAAATAATTTTATTACAGTTCTTATCATATTTTTTAAAGATTTATTTTAATTTTTAAAATTTGATGGAATATTCTCATGTTGGGGTTTAAAAGTAAGTTTTAACTAAAATCTGTATTTTCTGTCTGTTGGCAAAGGAGTAAAACACGAAATAAAAGGATTTTTTACAAAAATCTGTGAAATCGTGTTCAAGACGAACCGATAGCAACAACAAATATTTTTATTACAGTTCTTGGACTACTTTCGTAGGTGCTTGAGTGAATTTAAAAATTTGATGAAATATTCTTATGTTGGGCTGTAATAGTAAGCATTAAACTAAAACCTGTGTTTTCTGTCGTTTAACATAAGAATAAAACACGAAATAAAACGATTTTTAACAAAAATCGGGGAAATCGTGTTTAATACGATCGAATGCCAACAACAAATATTTTTATTGCAGTTATTAGCATATTTTCTAAAGTTCTTGATTAATTTTAAAAATCTGATGAAATATTCTCATGTTGGGCTTTAAAAGTATGGTTTAAACTAAAAACTGTGTTTTCTGTCTGTTGGCAAAAAATAAAACACGAATTAAAATCATTATTTAAAAAAAGCTGGGGAATCATGTTCAATATGATCGGATGCCAGCAACAAATATTTTTATAACAGTTCTTAACATATTTTCTAAAGTTCTTGAATAATTTAAAAAATTTGATGAAATATTCTCATGTTGGACTTTAAAAGTAAGATTTAAACTAAAATCTGAGTTTTCTGTCTGTTGGCAAAAGAATAAAACACGAATTAAAATCATTTTGTAAAAAAATCTGGGAAGTCGTGTTCAATACGATCGGATGCCAACAACAAATATTTTTATTACAGTTCTTGTCATATTTACCTATGTTCTTGATTGATTTTAAAAATTTGATGAAATATTCTCATGTTGGGCTGTAAAAGTAAGCTTTAAACTAAAATCTGTGTTTTCTGTCGTTTTTAAACACGAAAAAAAATGATTTTTAACAAAAATCTGTGAAATATTTTTATTACCGTTCTTGGCATATTTTCTAAAGTTCTTGAATAATTTTAAAAATTTGATGAAATATTCTCATGTTATGGTTTAAACTAAAAACTGTGTTTTCTGTCTGTTGGCAAAAAAAAAAACACGAATTAAAATCATTATTTAAAAAAAGCTGGGGAATCATGTTCAATATGATCGGAATATTTTCCTAGGTGCTTGAGTGAATTTAAAAATTTGATAAAATATGCTTATGTTGGGCTGTAAAAGTAAGCTTTAAACTAAAATCTGTGTTTTCTGTCATTTGGCAAACGAATAAAACACGAATTAATATCTGGGAAATCGTGTTCAATACGATCGGATGCCAGCATCAAATATTTTTGTTACAGTTCTTGGCATATTATCTAAAGTTCTTGATTAATTTTAAAAATGTGATAAAATATTCTCATGTTGGGCTGTAAAAGTAAGCTTTGAACTAAAACCTGTGTTTTCTGTCGTTTGACATAAGAATAAAACATAATAAATAAAATGATTTTTAACAAAAATCTGGGAAATCGTGTTCAATACAATCGGATGCCAACAACAAATATTTTTGGTACAGTTCTTGGCATATTTTCTAAAGTACTTGATTAATTTAAAAAATTTGAGGAAATGTTCTCATGTTGGGCTTTAAAAGAAAGCTTTAAACTAAAATCTGTGTTTTCTATCAATTGACAAAAGAATAAAACAAGATTTAAAATCATTATTTAAAAAAATCTGGGAAAGCATGTTCAATACGATCGGATGCCAAAAACAAATATTTTTATTACAGTTCTTGGAATATTTTCTAAAGTTCTTGATTAATTTTAAAAATTTGGTGAAATATTATCATGTTGGGCTTCAAAAGTGAGCTTTAAACTAAACTAAAGCTTTAAAAATCTGTGTTTTCTGTCTGTTGCCAAACAAATAAAACAGGAATTAAAATCATTTTTATTACAGTTCTTGGAATATTTTCCTAGGTGCTTGAGGGACTTTAAAAATTTGATGAAATATTCATATTTTGGGCTATAAAAATAAGCTTTAAACTAAAATATGTGTTTTCTGTCATTTGGCAGACGAATAAAACACGAATTAATATCTGGGAAATCATGTTCAATACGATCGGATGCCATTAACAAATATTTTTATTACAGTTCTTAGCATATTTTCCTAGGTGTTTGATTGAATTGAAAAATTTGATGAAATATTCTTATGTAGGGCCTTAAATGTAAGTTTTAACTAAAATCTGTGTTTTCTGTCGTTTGACAAAACAATTAAACACGAATTGAAATCAATTTTATAACAAAAACTGAGAAATCGTGTTCAATACAATCGGATGCCAGAAACAAATGTTTTTATTACAGTTCTTGGAATATTTTCTAAAGTTCTTGACTCATTTTAAAAATTTGATGAAAATCTGTGTTTTCTGTCGTTTGACAAATTGATATAACACGAATTAAAATCATTTTTTAAAAAAAATCTTGGAAATCATGTTCAATACGTTTGGATGCAAACAACAAATATTTGTATTACAGTTCTTGGAATATTTTCTAAAATTCTTGAATAATTTTAAAAATTTGATGAAATATTCTCATGTTGGGCTTTAAAAGTATGCTTTAAGCTAAAATCTGTGTTTTCTGTCTTTTGGCAAAAAAATAAAACACGAATTAAAATACTTATTTAAAAAAATCTGGGGAATCATGTTCAATATGATCGGATGCCAACAACAAATATTTTGATTATTCTTGGCATATTATCCTAGGTGCTTGATTGAACTTTAAAATTTGACGAAATATTCTTTTGTTGGGCTGTAAAATTAAGCTTTTAACTAAAATATATGTTTTCTGTGGTACGGCAAAAGAATAAAAACAGCATTAATCTGGGAAATCGTGTTCAATACGATCGGATGCCAACAACAAATATTTTGATTACAGTTCTTGGCATAATTTCCTAGGTGCATTGAATTTAAAAATTTGATGAAATATTCTTATTTTGGTCTGTTAAAGTATGCTTTAAACTAAAATCTGTGTTTTCTGTAGTTTGGCAAAACAATAAAACACGAATTAATATCTGGGAAATCGTGTTCAATACGATCGGATGCCAGC